AAGGTCGACCGCTCGCCCCCAAGACCCGTAGCATGCACCCTTGGAGTAAGATTTTCCCCCCCCCCCCCCCCCCCCGACCTCCTTCCACCACCAGCAGCCCCCTCGAACCTACTCCCAGCTCCAGCGCTACATTCCCTCAGCAGTGGGACGTCTGGGCAGAAGATCTCGCCTACGAGGCGGCGACCAAGCGGCTTCTCCGAGAGCTCCGACACCTCTTGGGAGGCCTCGACGCGCTTGCCCCAACCGCGCCAAACATGGCCTTCGCTCTAGAGTCTCTGGGGGCAGAGGGGACCGGGGCCGGCTCGAGCGGCGACGCGGCAGGCGCCGCCGCCGGCAAGCCGCCGCCGGCTTTGCTAGAGAGTGTCCGCGCGGTGGCGGAGAGCCTGTGCGAGGCGCACAGTCTCTCGGCGGGCGCGCTAGCGGCGGCGGCGGCGGGCACGCTCAGCCACGCGTCGGCGGGGGGATCGAGGCGCCTCGGCGCGCTGTGCCTGCTGCTCGGCGCGCTGGGGCGGCCGGTGGCGGTGGACGCCGCCGTGTGCGCCGCGGCCGGCAGGCTGCTGCAGTGCTGCAGCGCGCACGGGCAGGCGCACCTGGAGGACCTCGGGCTCAGAGCGGCGCACGGGAGGGCCCTGGGGGCCGAGGCTAAGCTGCTCGCGAGGGAAGAGGCGAGAGAGGCCCAAGACGCAGCCGCCGCCGCCGCCGGTTTTGACGCGACGAATCTCTCCGAGAGCGCTGGGCCCGCTGCTGGTTCATTCGTCACAGCGGCGACAGGGGCGGAGGCGGAAGCGGCCGGCGGGCTTGGTCTGGAGAACCTGAGGCCGCACCTGTCGGAGCTGAGGGCGGCCGCGTTCCAGCTCGAGCTGTGCCTTGCGCTTCACGCGCGCGGGTGCTTGAGGCTGAGCTCGCGCGCCCGGGCGGAGGCTGCCATGGGCTTCCGGGCTGGGTTGTTGGTTGAGACGTTGGGCCGGAGGTGAGAGAGACTCTGTTGGTGTGTGCGTTGTCTATCTGTCTGTGTATATAAATAGCAGAGAGTTTTTTTGTATGATGATGATCTTGCCGGTTTGCGCCCGGGGTGGGTAGTAACGTTCGGCCTGGTTGGCAAGGGCCGACGCAAGAGTGCCGGCGGGTATGGTTCGTCGGTTGGTTGGCGTTTTTTTCGGCGAGGACCACTAATGTACCATGGAATGTACCATGGGAAGTTTATCCGCGCGAGCAAGAGTAGGGCGTTAGTACAACCCCTTCGCGAGACCTGTTTCCGCGACCTTCCTTTTGTGTTCGGTACAACTTCCCCGGTACGGTATGTATCCAGCAATGCACCCCTTGCTCTTACTGAAACCCGCCTATAACGACGATGATGTCGTGTTCTGACGTGAAGAGCGTACGGCGGTTTTAGAAAATATCATACTCGAATCAAAGAAGGACTACCCCGCTCGAGATAATACCACCATGGAAGAGGATGTGTTGGGGTCTTTTTCAGTGAGTGGTTTTGTCTTGGGTCATTTCTAAAATATTTGAGCTTTTCTTTTCTACTTGTGCGACTCTCGGCTGAGAATCGACACATTTTTTTTTTTTGTACACTTTTGGCAGGTATGACGTCACGGCGGCGTTGGTGGGTTGCCCGCCGGCTTCCCCGGAGGCAGACGAGCCCCGCCTTTCCGACTCTCAAGAGTCCGAGGCCTTATCCCCTGGCGGTGGCGGCGGCGGTAGCGGTAGCGGCTACGGAAGCGATCGGGATGAAGGAAGAAGGGCTTGGGTGGGCACCCCGAACGCGGAACTACTGGACGCGCTGTCGCGGTGAGCACTTTGTTCGTGGGGTGTGGCTCCGAGACTCGCTCCTGGTGTACGTCGTATGGACACGAGAGCCGTGCTTCCTGTATTATTTTATTCCGTGGCGTGCTCTTACCGTTGACTGCCGCAGAGTATTTTTTTTATTTGAACCGTAAATTTAGGTATATACAAGAACCCCCCGCCCCACGTCCACCCCGTGCATTGTGGCGTGTCTGGCGACTTTTGCCTTGAGGCCCCTCTTGACTGATTGACCCCCCCCCCCCCCCCCCCCCTTGTGG